ACTTTAAAAACTTTTATACCTTGAGGACTTTGTACAAAATCTGATTCAGCTATACAGTTTTAGATTGAGAATTTTTCTTTAAGGTAAGGTTTCAATGGATTGAAAGCAAGGTTTACACAGGTTGTAAGCTCATGCCTTCTTCAAACTGAAAATACTTTCTTAGATAGAGAAATTCTTGGGAGCAAATTGTCTAAATTATCTCTAAAAAGAATCTTACTTTTTATATAAGTCTTTCTAAAATTCTTCAAATCTTCCTTTATGTCAATCTTTGTCTGAGAATCTTCACTATTCTTGCAAGATCTTTGATTTTTGTAAAAAGTATTTTGTTTTGGAGCATCGGCTGCTTTATTTCAAATCTTCTTTTCTTAAAGTAATCTGTCTTCTTGTGTAGGTAGAGTTTATGTATTCAAATTATGTTCTGCAACTGATGAAAATGACATTGCACTATCTGAATTATTGTAGCGTTGGTTCTCTGGGTCTTCATTTTCATTGCTTGCCCGTGAAACATCTTCTCTTTGTGGACATTCTGGAATTTCTTTTCTTTTACATTTTTCTTTTCAAAAATTGTCTCAAAAGCTTTTTCGATTGCTTCATTAATCTTGTCTTTTACTTCATTTCTTTTCTTTTTCTTAATGACAATTTTCTTTTTTCTTCTGGAAGAAGTTCCTTCATCATTCTTTGATTGTTTTTGGAATTCTTGAATCTGGGCTAAAATCTTATTAATTGGAATCAAATCTTCATCTGGATCTTGACTATCTTGAAATAATGCTGGATTTGGATCTTGACTTTCTTGAACAATAGCTTTACCGTTGTCATCATGTTCCTCTTGGTTATGTAATGAACTTGGAAAATCTGAAACTTGATTTTCTGGTGGACTATATTTTACTAAAAAATCATATTTACCACTAGGTTGTCCTAACAAATCCCAAATCTCTTTACTTTTTTCTGTTACAGATTTATCAGTCAGTTGAGTCTGAACAAATGTTCTAGTAGAAGAATCGACAGTCTTCTGAGTGTTGAACTTTTGGCAAGTTCATAGCCATCAACGGATTTGAAAGATCTTTACCATCTACCGTTTGAGTTGGATTAGCTATTGACTTCTTAGGCTCAATAGTACCTTTGGATAGACTGAGTTTTAACTCAATTATCTCTTTTCAAGTTGAGCAATCTTTTTCTGGAGGGAGGTTCTTTGAGACATGAGATCTTGATTTGATTCATTAATTATTCTAAAATTATTCTGCATACATTCACAATGTGTACAAAAAATATTTGTCTTTGCTTGGAGGAAAGTCTAATGAAGGATCTGAATAATTTTTAAGAGAAGGTGAAATATAAAAATTTATCCCAATGTTATGTCTAGCTGCTTCAAGAGCTTCTTGGAAATTTGTAAAACCTTTATATAATGGATCTTTAAAATCTTTAATACAATTTAGAACTTCTAACCATATATGAAAAACACCAGGGTTTCTACCTTTAACAACAACATAAAACTTATACTTACATCTATTTTGATTAAAATGTTCTGACAATACATTTAAACATGCAAGAAAATATTTTTGATCTTCTGGGTTTTTATTATATAAAATCCAAAGATTATCTAACAAACATTTTTCTTCTCTAAATAATGAAATATGTTTTAAAACTTTTAAAAAAATATTACTATTTGGAAAACATAGAAGTTCTTGATTACCAAATCTAATTCTTTCTTGGTAATATGGTCTGTTTTGAGTAGATGAAGTCTGTAACAATGCATTTGATGCAAAAGAATTTCCTGGAGGAATTCCTGGTCTGGGAGGAGGTCTGGTCATCTATAAAAATTAAACCAAATCAATCCCATAAAGATTTCTATTTTCTATAATTCTACTTAAGATATCTACTGCTTTGTTATCACTACCTTTTATATAATACTAATTCCAGTATTAACTATTCTATCTATAAAATTTAACAATTTCCTTCTACTACTCTTTTTAGAATCTAACTTTAATTTATTATAAAAGGAAACTATGGCTTCACAATCTGTTCTTATAGTTATTTTTTTTAGAAATAATAAATAATTCAAAACTATCTAAATCATAGTTTACTGCTAATAATTCTGCATCTATACTACTCATATTACATTTTTCTTTATAATTTCCACTATTG